CAGAAACGGATGACAATCAACGGCAACAGAAATATCTCCAACCCGGACAGTTCGCCCGTATTAGTGTGCACAGCTTCAATGAGAAAGGTTCTTGCTCATTTGATCCATGCAAATTTAAACACATTTGCAATCATTGCTATGTCACCCGCAATCGTTTTAATAATCACAGCGAAAAGGACTGCAAACAGAAATCAGCCACGTCCATGTCACCTCTGCACCACAATAAACCAATCTCCTCATGACTCCATGCGCAGCCCTCAGACACCACGTCAACGACTTGTGACCTCCCCGTTAGATCAACGCCTATACACGTATCTCTGGACGCTAGCGTTATCTCGTTCGATTCGGTTAGCAACAACATCACCGGGTCTGACCCAACACTTTCAGTCATCACAAGTGTGTCAGGGGGCTCCACACCTACGCCACCAGCAGCTACATCACCGTTGTCACTTACGCATACGGCATTACCCAAGCTCAGCACCACAATCTTCATCGATAATAACAAGTTCGAATCCCTCGCTCTCGCCGGTCAGTCAGCAACCACACTGACATCAAGCATGATCAAAGCGCCAACATCGCAGGCGGTCCTCAGCGACATCAACTTCGACCCCACACTTCATCACAACACAAGCAGGTCGAGAGCTACACACTCGTCATTGACATCATCATCAACTACAACAACAACAACAACTTTTCCATCATCAGCTGATCATTCGTCACCGTCGCCCAGTCCGATCTCTGTGCCGCCAGATCACATTATTTCTAACATTGATGGCAGTATTGCACAACATTACATTGATTTACATCGCAGAATCTCCGCTTCAGGCCTTTATAACTTTCAAGGTTGTTGCATCCCGGTCTCTTCCGGTCTGAACATTCAGTCTTGGCGCCATCTTCTACGCAATTACGACACCGACATCTGCGACTTCTTAGAATTTGGTTCAACTACTCGCGCGACTTTCTTCCTACTTTGCACGCAACGAATCACACCTCGGCTTTACATTTCGCTGAGCACGTGGACAGTTTTCTGGAATCGGAGCTATCTCTCGGCGCATCCATTGGACCGTTTGACACTTTGACACTTGTCTCACCCGCTCATTACCTCACCATTAATGACCGTGGCTAAGAAGGGCTCATCTTCCTGTCGCGTGGTCGTGGACTTAAGTTTTCCAGAAGGCTACTCGGTCAACGATGGCATCCCAGGGGACAGTTACATCGGGGATGATTACAAGCTCAGACATCCTACAGTTGACTCCATGTTAGATCGCATCCGTACACTTGGTTCCGGTTGCCTCCTTTACAAACGGGACTTCAGCAGGGCATACCGACAACTTCGCGTGGATCCGGGAGACTACCACCTTCTCGGCTATTCTTGGAAAGGGAAATACTACTTTGACGTTTCACCATCTTTCGGGTTACACACAGCGGCCTTAATGTGTCAACGGTCAACCAATGCAGTGCGTCACATCCTACGCAACCAAGGGCACGAGGTGATCAATTATATCGACGATTTTGGCGGAGCCGAGTTACCAATCAACGCTACTGCGGCTTTTGAGAGTCTATTTTATTCATCACAGTCACAGTCACAGTTTATTCATCCTTGGTAACTTGTAGCATTTTCTTTTTCGCTTCTGAAGGAAGGAAGCTCCGCTCGCCGCTCTGGACCACCAGGCGTCCCGCTCACTCCACTCAGCTTTTGCTTCCGGTTCATTGCGGAACATTACAACTCAATGGCGTGCATTCTTCCTCTTCTGCCGTTTCTTTTGCATCCAGCCAGTTCCGACCACAACACGAACGATTATTCGCTACACACAGTTCCTTGCCCGCTCGTTTTCAAGCAGGGCATCTATCTGCAACTACCTCAACGGTGTTCGGCTGCTGCATCTTTTCGTCACCGAGACCCCACCTTCACTTGACTCATTCGAACTGCGCCTTGTCCTCCGGGGAATACAGCGTGTAACAGCGCACCAGCCTCGCCGCAAGTTGCCTATCACACCGGATATCCTTCTTCGAATTCATCGTCTCTTGGACTTTACAAGCCCGCTGCACGTTACGCTGTGGTCCGCTTTCCTCATCGCATTTTTTTCGTTCCTGCGTAAGTCCAACACTAGTGCCCCCTTCAGATACAGCTTTTAATGCCCGCATTCATCTCTCGTGGGGCAGCGTCGGATACAACACCACAGGTTTGATCATTCGCATCACATGGTCTAAAACCATACAGTTTGGCGAACGGGTACTGCACATTCCTATCCTGGCTATCTCTGGTTCCGCCCTCTGCCCAGTATCAGCCTACAAGCAGAAGCTCTCCTGTTTCTTGCACCGTCATCTACCGGCAGACTGCATCCTTTGATCTACCAGTCTTTTGTTCAACATCTGCGATCATTGCTCAGCTCCACAGGGCTGGACCCAAACAGCTACTCCAGTCACAGCTTTCATCGTGGAGGGGCCTCCTTCGCATTTCAGTCGGGAGCAGACCCTGAAGCAATTAAAGCGCAAGGCGACTGACGCTCACAAGCTTACCTGCTGTACATGAAATCCTCATTCGGTCGTCGCCTCAGGACAGCATCATGCATTCGCGCTGCTATCAAGTCTGGCCAAGTCGATCTGACACTTTGAACATTTGCTTTTGGCGGCTTTCATTTTTGGCCTTTTAATGCTGTATTTCAACCACCCACCCACCCATGAATAATTAACAATTTTGAACTGCTTACAAACTACAACAATTATTCAATGGCAAAGAACGAACCCGACTCAAGCGAATTGGCGGCAAAAGAAAATAAAAAGTTAGTTTTATTCTGTTGAATCTAAAATTACATTTCCGGCATACAGCGAAATACAGTAAATATTATTGATAATATTACTTTTTTAATGGAATTGCATTTTTGATACAAATAGTTCTGCAACGTGTTAGCTCATTTGGCTTCAGTTACCAAATATGTCGGAAACTCCAGGACTTTATCATGAATCATAAGGGATCTCCATCAGAGATCATTTCGGTGTCAAACTCAGATTGTAAATGTATCTATTGACATTTTTAGAGACAGCATGTACTGGAATATGGTCTTTGCTGATATGTTTAACACATCATGTTTTTTAATTTCTGTTATGCTTTTCTGCTCTTTAGTAATTTATTTTTGTTTTATGAGCTGGACCTCGAAATACAATTATTATTATTATGATAATCATTTCAAGGTCGGGAAGTAGAAATGAGACAGTTCTTGGATGAACTTCACCTGATAACTGAACACAGAGAAAAGGGGGAACACAGGCGAGTCATGGTATATGAAGGTGAGCCAGGTATTGGAAAGACCCGGATGATAGAAGAATGTATCCGCCAGGCTACAGCTGAACAAATACGGTATGCTTTATTGTACAGAACCCTTCAGTACCATTGTCAATTTTGTCAGCTTGTTAGTTCCCGTTCGGACGCAGTCCGAAAACGGGGACTTATGTTTTGATCTCCGTGTGTCAGTGTGTGCGTGCGTCTGTGCGTGCGTCCGGACCTGTATCTTAGAAATGCCTGGACCAATCACAATCAAACTTTACACATACATCATACATGATAGTATACATACACTGTATGCACGTTGATTTGTTTCACGATCTGATTCAAGATGGCCGAATGGCGGCCATTTTTGTGCTGAAAAATCATCAAAATCAAG